ATAACATCAGTGACATGAGTTTAGTTTGATGAATATATAAAATTTGAAATTAGCTTTGGCACCAACTGTAACAAAATAATTACATGAATCCTAAATTATATCTAATGATAAGCATTGTATAAATGTAAGTAGCCTAATTAACTGTATGTAAAGATTTAATTGTGTACCTCGACTGTGTTAATAATCACCTAGCACAATTAAAAGCATTGTTAACCATTGGAATAATAATGTGAAACTACCATCTACAGCATAGCTAGTCTTCAAGAAAGGCGTCATCAACCAAGTTAATTTAGAACTGGATGTATTCTTTCTGATTACAATCCCTAAGGAGTTGAAATGTCAAAAGTGAACATTTTCAAACGAGCTTCATTAAGTTTTATATTCGTGATTAATACTCATAGAGGATTTATATGCAAAAAAGATACGACAAAACGTAAGAGTATTTATTTAGTATTAAAACCCCTCCTAATTAGACTTGTAATTTACGGAAGTAAAAAAATACGTCCAATAACATTTAAAATATATATTTACCATTTATTGAGTTTTAGCCTACTGATGGGTCGCCGGAATTTTACCCCCCTGGAATTTTACCCCCTGGGCAAAGCTGACGTCACTATGACGTAGTAACCTCAGTGGCCAAAAGTTTGTTCGCGGCCGGAATTTTACCCCCGCGGATTTCGAAGTCTAATGAAAATAGTCAGAGCGTGATTAATTCAATTAGCGATAAAAACCGGAATTTTACCCCCTGTCCATATAACTAGTGTTTAGACAACTGAAATGTACGGGCCGGATTTTTACCCCCCGGAATTTTACCCCCGGAATTTTACCCCCCGGAATTTAACCCCCGGATTTTTACCCCCGGATTTTTACCCCCCGGAATTTTACCCCCTGGCCGATTTTAGAAATTGAATGATTGGTTTTTATTTCTGTTTTTAATTAATTGTAAACATTTCATTATTTAGTGGCCTTTCTTTATTTATTTATTTTGTAATCTCAACTAAGTCAAACGAATTCGCTGTTTAATTTTGATGTTTGGGATTTGCCTTTGGGGCAAACTGTTGGTTATTACGTATGTAAATAAGTAATAGGCCATGTTAATAAGTATGAAAAACTTAATAATAAAACTTAATAATAAAATGTTTACTATTAAATTAAAACAGAATGATGATAATTAATCATTCTAATTTTTATATCTAGCCAGGGGGTAAAATTCCGGGGGTAAAATTCTGGGGGTAAAAATCTGGGGGGTAAAATTCCGGGGTAAAATTCCGGGGGGTAAAAATCCGGGCCGTACACTCTAGGTTTTTATAATTTGATGTGTTCTGATTAAATTCACAACCGTGAAAATATATGTTTAATTCCGCGTTTAATCCATCTGATGGCGCGAAACTCAAAAGTTCGCGGCCGGAATTTTACCCCCTGGTTTGTGACGTCACGTTTGCCCAGGGGGTAAAATTCCAGGGGGATAAAAATCCGCTACCCCCTACTGATCACATTAAAATTCTATAAATTGGTGTAAATACAATACTGTATGTGCAAATATACTATAAATTGGTACATACAACGATCTATAATATACAGGGTACAGTAAGTAAACAGACGAAGTCTGGGAAATGGTTTTATGAGTCAAAATAAAAAAGAAATTTGTTTAAGAAAATGCCTCGTTAACAAGAAATCCCGCCCTATTGTTTTATGGTATTTAAAATTTATATATTCAAAAATATTTAAGATATCCTTAAACTAGTTGCGCAAAATAAGAGAAAACCCCTTCTATTTCAAAATGGGAGCCATATTAATATTTATATTTAAATTACCAAAATGGGTGATTTTATTTTGAAAAAAAACTTAATTTATCTAGAATTTAAAATGTCTTATATAACGGAATCAGATTCATTATTAAAAAGATAATTGGTTAGTTTAAAAGGGTCCAAAAAAATCCAAGTTATAATACCCATTTACCATTTCAAAATTATGCTTGTATACAGGGTGTCCCGTAACTCTCTTGACACATGTATATTATTGCTTGGGTGAAGACAAACATATTTCACCATAGGAACATAGGTCTGTGGTGCCTAGTTTACCGTCTGTCTGTATTTATGAGTTTTTTACAAAAGAATTAATAACTCATAAACGGTTTTAGATACAGCATTGAGATTTTTCAAAAATGTTTATCTTATTAAGACCTATTTTTCTTTAAATTATACTAAAAAAGCATCAACCGTTTAAAAATGGCGGCCATTTAAAATTGTTGATGCCAAATTTCACGAAAACCGTTAGTTTTACAAAAATTTGCAGGAAACAAAAACGTTAGTAAATTTTATGTAGATTTCAATGATACCATATTTGTTGAGGATCGATAAATAATAACAGAGAAATATCTTCTTTTCCAAATGCATGCGTCAATCTGGTGTTTTAAAACATTACAGCCGATTACATCATTGTTTGGCACTCGACCGCCTGACCTCAGTCCTATCGACTTCTTCCTTTGGGGCACCATGTTCCTATGGTGAAATGTGTTTGTCTTTAAGCAATAACGTTATATACATGTCTCCAGAGAGTTACGGGACACCCTGAAGAAAAGTAGATAAAAGGCGAAAATAACTACATATGTACAATTATTTTATTCATTTAGATCAATATTTTTGGGCATCACCAATCTTATTGAAATAAGGAGAACACAGTCCTTGCTGTCACCACAGTTCATCGCACACACACAAAAACAAGTTAATAAAAAATAAAATAAAATAAAATCACATACTTAAGTTCTCTTACTCCGACGTTTCGCCACACGGAGTTAAAGAACTTTGCTCTTTGATTTTATTTTTATTTTTGTATTTTTATTATTACGCTAAGTAGCGTTTCACTGTTTATCCGTTATTGATTCGCTAGTCCTAGTCGCCAGTGAGTGGCTAACACATCAAGGGGGTACCGTAACACTAAGTATCGTGCACTGTTTATCCGTTATTGATTCACTAGTCCTAGTCGCCAGTGAATGGCTAACACATCAAGGTGGTACCGTAACACTAAGTATCGTGTCACTGTTTATCCGTTATTGATTCACTAGTCCTAGGCTCTAGCGAGTGGCTAACACATCAAGGTGGTACCGTAACACTAAGTACCGTGTCACTGTTTATCCGTTATTGATTCACTAGTCCTAGGCTCTAGCGAGTGGCTAACACATCAAGGTGGTACCGTAACACTAAGTACCGTGTCACTGTTTATCCGTTATTGATTCACTAGTCCTAGGCTCTAGCGAGTGGCAAACACATCAAGGTGGTACCGTAACACTAAGTCTAGTATCGTGTCACTGTTTATCCGTTATTGATTCACTAGTCCTAAGCTCTAGCGAGTGGCAAACACATCAAGGTGGTACCGTAACACTAAGTATCGTGTCACTGTTTATTCGTTATTGATTCACTAGTCCTAGTCACTAGCGAGTGGCAAACACATCAAGGTGGTACCGTACCGCTAAGTATCGTGTCACTGTTTATCCGTTATTGATTCACTAGTCCTAGGCTCTATCGAGTGGCAAACACATCAAGGTGGTACAGTACCGCTAAGTATCGTGTCACTGTTTATCCGTTATTGATTTACTAGTCCTAGTCACTAGCGAGTGGCAAACACATCAAGGTGGTACCGTACCGCTAAGTATCGTGTCACTGTTTATCCGTTATTGATTCACTAGTCCTAGTCACTAGCGAGTGGCAAACACATCAAGGTGGTACCGTAACACTAAGTATCGTGTCACTGTTTATCCGTTATTGATTCACTAGTCCTAGTCGCCAGTGAATGGCTAACACATCAAGGGGGTACCGCAACACTAAGTATCGTGTCACTGTTTATCCGTTATTGATTCACTAGTCCTAGTCACTAGCGAGTGGCAAACACATGAAGGTGGTACCGTACCGCTAAGTAGCGTGTTACTGTTTATCCGTTATTGATTCACTAGGCCTAGTCACTAGCGAGTGGCAAACACATCAAGGTGGTACCGTACCGCTAAGTAGCGTGTCACTGTTTATCCGTTATTGATTCACTAGGCCTAGTCACTAGCGAGTGGCAAACACATCAAGGTGGTACCGTAACACTAAGTAGCGTGTCACTGTTTATCCGTTATTGATTTCAACGTTTAGTTCGAGGATCCAGCCATTAGACGAATTTGACGTTTGACATTTTCAGGCTTTGCTATCGCGATGAATGTAAAACTAAACGTAGTTTTATGTGTGAATGGACAACTAAGTCTATAAATACGAGCCTGATATGCATCTAAGTGTCATATTATTTTCCGATTTGCCCATCAATTTGGCTTATTATTACTCATCCACAAATATTCCCAGCGGTAATTTAATGACTGGAAGGAATCAAATTAGTGGATTGTTATAAGTGCAGTAAAAAATGTTTGTATCATATTATTTCAAGTAAAACCCCTCTCAAGTTGGGTGAAGTACCCAAGAAAAAGAGGGACTACAAAGCAATGAAGTTTCTTTACACTCTTCGATTTTCTGTTTATATTTTGTTGTTATTTCGTCACCGGCAACCCATAAGACCCATGGATTTTTTTTTATTTTAGATTAAATTTTTATGCTTATTTTTTAGTCTATTTTAATTTATAAAGGGGTTCTGCACATCTACTGTACACGAAAATATCTTTCTGACAGTATGCGTAGATTTTCCCTACGATACACACGAGCCAAAGAAAAGGTTTTAAAGGAACTTGATTGCCTATTAATATATATGAAAGTGTTCAATCATTAGTTTTAAACACAAAACACGTTAAACCTACATTCACCATTTGAGAGTGGCTACAAGCACCTAATAAGATTGTTACGTATATATTTGTGAAAGACCAACCAATTAAACGTCTCTATAGTTAATTTGATAAATAGCCTCACTAAGGATTGATAACCTTATTGAAAGTAACTGAACTGTAGACGATGGGGGTTTTACAGAGTACACTTCTACAAGCTGCGGTTCCTTTTACATAGAGTATGACATTTACTAACCTGTCAAGTGCTATTGCAGATATGGTTCCCGCACTGACTGTGATGTTGGTTCCCTGAGCTACAGGCACCATCTTGCAGAGGAAGACTCCCAAGGTCCACTCGGTCCTCAGCAGGGAGATGAGGGTGAAAGGCATGACCAGGAGACACAGCCCCAGGTCGGCGATCGCTAGGTTCACGATGTAGAGGTTGCGAGGCGTCGGACCCGAGTTGGACATGGTGCGGCGTGAACACTGTCGAGCCACTACAAAGCACAGCAGGGCGTTGGACACGACACCTGCAGACAAACACGGCGTGTGAAAACAGATCATCGTATAGAGAGATTTGTCTAATTCAGATAAACCTCTCTTTGCCTCTGAGATTTATCATTTGTCTACATAAATAAACCTGAACTACCAAATCACATCTAAAGACCAGTAACCCCTCCCTCAAACAAGTTACAAAAAACAAAACAAACAACAAAGTTACAAGAAACAAGAAAACAAGTCCCGGACTCTATCGTCTAGACCAGCATTTAAAACTCACAGTCGTAACGGGGTTTTCCAAGGGGTTGACCCTCATTAGCGCCGCGAGCGAGGGTTTGGAACTCTAACACGAGGCAGCAGGTTAAAATACAGTCTGGTACAGAAGTATATTTCTTGTCTCTACTATCCCAGGCCTAGCATCTAGTGCTAATGACACAGTACCAAAATTACAGTTAGGTTAGATTAAGATAGGTTATAAAAAAAAATTGAAAAAGGTATAAAAGTGTTATTTCATTTTCGGAGTTCATTTATTTTATGAAGACGACCTCAATATATCTTGTGATTTTGGTGCTGTGCCACTAGCACTTGATAGAAATTAAAATATGTATGTGTCAGAGAACCAATGCGGCCTAAGTCACGGCCTTAGTAAGCGGTCTCAACAAATTAGGACTTGAAAGCCACAAACCTGGTTAAAATGTGCACTAGAGATGTTAAGTATAATCACGTAAAATGCGTGCATGCTTTTGTCGTATCAGGTAACTAAGCTATTTCGAAATCGAGCAATTGCAAAGTATTACAGGAGTTGCTTGAAAACCTATAACAGGCATAATTTCCGATGAATTTAAAGAGTCAACTCAAAAGATTATGTAACTAATGGAAATACTCATAACGAATGCAGGGCAAAAGCGGACACGGAACATTGGGGAAACATTATTAAAGAGGGCAATAGCGGACTCTAGGAATTACTGACAGAGGGTTGGCAGGTCTCTGCAAATATTTCAAGGGTGGAACATTGTGACACATGTATCTACGACCGGAAAAGGGTGCGAGGGAAGGAGGCCATGGGTATCACAAAGAAATTTATGTTGAGTAAACATTTTTGTTGGTTTGCTTGTCACTCGTCCGATTTGAAAAATAATGGCTTAAAGGAAAGCTGGTATTTCACTGAAGGTTCTTGGACTAAAATGTATTTGATTATATAATTATAACCGGTAAAATACATCTAAAAATTGAAGTAAAAATTAAAAAAAATCTTTTTTTTAATACAGTAGATAAATATATGTCGATGCTTGATGTGAAATCTGTGCGTGCATATCTTCTATTTGAGACCTCAACCATGAAATTCGGTCTCGTAGAAGAGCCAAACAAACTCGGAAAAGAAAAACAAAATTGAACTCCCATAAGAAAAAATATATAATAGGATACGTACCTTGGTCCGTCTTCAGTCTTATTTTAGTCAATGGATGACTAGACTAGTTTCGGGTACAAAGACCCATTGTCAAATCCTTTTCAAAACATCATGCTATGTTTTGAAAAGGATTTGACAATGGGTCTCTGTACCCGAAACTAGTCATCCATTGACTAAAATAAGACTGAAGACGGACCAAGGTACGTAACCTATTATATATTCGAATATCAGTCTTGGTGGCAAAGATGTTTAAATGTTCCCATAAGAAACACGTCGGAGCTAATTTCGTTTACGTATAAAAGCCAGCCAAGTGGGACTGTAGATTAATATACGCCGATTTTTGATGTGAAAATAATCTGTTTGAGCATACCTTCAATTTGAAACCTCAATCATGAAAATCGGTCAGGTAGAAGAGCCAAACGAACTCGGAAAAGCAACCCCAAATTTAACTCCCATAAGAAATACATGAGATTAATAATATAGATATAGAAATAAATAGTATAGATATAGAAATAAATAATATAGATATAGACAATATGGGTTTCCTTTGGATATTTTTTTATGCAACAAAAACACGTTGTAAGTTATAATTTACGTAACTTCTTTGAAGAGTGGAGGTGAAATAAATACAGTATGTGTGTGTAAAAAATTGAACAAACCGTTCTACCAACAACTAATGACAAGTCTGGTTGCGTAGGCAACACTGTTGGGACAAGTTTACTTGCCTGAGGTGATGAGCACGGAGTAGAAGACAATGAGGACTATCTCTGCGTCAGGTCTGAGTATCCTGCGGGACTGGCGGTGTTCCTGAAGGATCTGTAGAGCCTCCTTCAGGCTGAAGTTGAACACCGACGTTGACAAGTTGAAGGCGTCCTCGCTATCCGAGTAGTCCTCGCCATCCTCACCAATGTTCATAGTTACATGAGTTTTTCTTCTCAAACTAGTCAGTTCGTCAACATTCTCTACACAGTTTTCTACGCGCAGTCCTCGTCGGATGTATTTTGTAAGAAGAGAGGTCACCACTATATTCAGAACCTGAAACTGAAAAGGATCATGGTTTTAAATAGCTCACATTTGTACAATTAATAAATCTATACAGTACTGTATTTTATGAAAGTGTTGTATTACAATAAATAAATAAATAAAATAATAAATAAATAAATTAATAAAAATGCCTTTATTTATCAAGCGTTTCTCAGTACAAATACTGCTTCTCAGAACAACTTTTGTCAATAACAATATAAAACTAACAACAAATAAATAGAGCAATAACAAAACAGAAACAAGACAGTATGAGTAACAATAATTAACCATCAGTGCACAATTCTTTGATCTTAACTCTAAATGATGATAAAGAATATTTTTTGAGGCCAGAGGGGAGGTCGTTGTACAGTTTTGGACCGAAGTACGAGAAGCTTCGTCTTCCAAACTCAAGCCTCACTCTTGGAAAGTGAAGCTGGAGACCACCATGGCGGGTACTACGCTGAGAGACCTCCTCCCGGAAAGAGAGCCTCTCAAGAAGGTACTGTGGCTCCTGTAAAACAAGAGCCTTGTGCACCATGCAGCACGTCACGTTAATCTTGATAAGTAACCAAGCACGTAATGGGTGCCCGCATTAGTTCGAAGGTTTAGGGATATATATCTTGATCAAATTTGGAAATTTCGTTAATTTTTATACTAAGCCTATTTATGCAGTTTATTACATTATTTACAGTTTAATTATGAAAAACACACTTGATAACCTTCCCGGTAGCACTAAACCCAAATACTCATTGAAATTATGTTATTGAAATAAAAAAAACATTCTAGGTATCAATTTCAGAGGATTATTTTAGTGAAAATGCCAGGTAAATGGAAATTCGCTTGGTCTGTAGGTTTGCTGCAGCGGGGGTATTTTCATTTATATCCGAGCCGAGGGCATTATTCATTCTTCAAAAGTTTTTAATAATGCAGATACTGAATGACTTGCTTTTCTTAAACTTATACAATCATGTTTTAGCTTAACCAAACGTATAAAGGAGCAAATTGTCTATAACCTCTGATAAAAAGTAAATGGTACCACCAGACTTTATATTTCATTAGTATGAAAAACAGTTAGTACTACTGTACATTAGTTGCGGCATTTATTCACAGTAACACGAGAAGTGCAAGCCCTCCTGTAGAGTTTCATATTTTTCATGTCGACCTCAACCCTTAAAATCAGCACTCCTGGTGGTGCTCAAATCAATCAACGCCAATCGAACATTGACGTTTCCATGTTATCTTTCAACCTTTGTGTGCCAAAATGGGACAACTACTATGCAAATACCTCACACTCGATTGGATCTTTCGAGAATCTTGTCAACATGCTAATGTACTATTTACCTTCGATTTCGTGAGTTTTCATTCATTTTTGTGTACTGAGAGTACTCAAGCGTAATGAAAATTGAATATTAATGCAACATTTGACTTAAATAGGTGTATTTTATTTTCTTTACAGTATTTACCATTTTAAATTTAGGACTCATATTTAGAATAACTTACAGCAAATAAAATAAAAGCAAATAAAAGTTCAATATCTAGGTAAGAATAAAGAGTATGCAATTTTGCAAACGAATAATTTATATTTGAATTAGCAAATTTATTATTATAGTAAGACAGTTTTTTCAAGTCTTAGCAATAAACCATAGCTTTTAAATTTTATATACAGACATTAAGATACCCAACAAAAGTTGAATGTTGAAATATTTTGTAGAATAGCCTAAAGCCACTAAAACTTATATTCCCTCTCTATAGTTGGCGTTTGTTTATCCATTCCTATTAATAGTCCCCATTGAACGGATATTGTTCGAAATACAGTAATAGTATTATTTACATCCCATGTTAACATGCCCGTAGATGTTTGTGTTTAATATTGATCAACGTCAACAACAGGAAGATAAACATTACGAGTGCACACAGCTGATCGTAATATCGACTCATCGGACTTCCGCCTGCGTCACTAGGAATAGTGACGTCATTTGTATGGATTAAGTGCTTTAGTGCTTTTGTCGATTTGCATTTGCATCCTGAGTATGAGATAATCTGATGACAACCTGTGACCCCAAATAACGATGACTCGGTACATAGAATAACTGTATAGAACAGTAGGCGGTTATTGCATGCCTAGACACTTAAATTACACTAATTAAAATGCCAAGTCAGGTGAAAATTGTAACTTCTTGTGTAATACAATGCAATAAAAAGGATTTTGACTATTTTGAGTTTAAATTGTGTATGGGAGAAGAATATTGTTTACACTTTACAAAAGATTGAAATTTGGTTTCTTTTAACAGAATAACTCCAAAACAAATTGCGTAGAATGCCCTTAGGTTGTCAGATTTGTGGTTTATATGATGAAACTACACAGTATACTACTGTATTAAAAATACAATTCAAAGAAAAAATAAAACCATACAACATTTGTGATAATGACTGTAAATGAGGAGTTTGTTAAATATTTAAATACTGTACTAAGCTTAGGGTCAATTGTAAAATTCCAAGGGTTAATTAAAAAACCAAAATTGCAAAGCCGTAAGACTGAAACACCCCTACCACAAACAACCTGCAGACTTAACTAATTCCCATTTTCCTGATTACAATTTAACTAATAAACTTCCCTAAACATTTTAGATTTATTCAGAGTAAATTATGATTTTTTCATAATAATTAACTCAGATACGTGTAGAATGATGTTAAGATATACGATTTGAGATAAGATTGTAGGATCCATAGGATATGTTGTTTATTTTATTAGTAGCGAATTTTCCTATAGGAAATAATATAGCCAGTTGCCGAGGTAATAGGGCAAGACAAACCCCGGGACCAATTTTCTTTTTAATTTTTATGTACCACTATTCATTTAAATGTTTATATATATATATATATATATATATATATATATGTGTGTGTGTGTGTGTGCGTGTGGGTGTGTGTGGGTGTGTGTGTGTGTGTGTGTGTGTGTGTGTGTGTGTGTCCGTGAACACGATAACTCGAATAAATTTGGTACGATATTGGTTAATTTTAGCTTGATTAACTTGCATAAGGTTAAAAACCAGAAAGATCGGGTCATGGAAAAGGACGTTATGAGGATTCGAAGTTATGTACAACAATTGCGTTTTCTAATGTTCACCCTTAAGACATTAAAATTCAATCAAATCAATCAAATCTTCAATTTCAATTGCCGCCATCATGTTAAAAATGAATCAAACCTCTCTGTATATGAAATTAGTGTTGTAAATTTAAAGGAAATGAGGAAAATTACAAATACTGTGCATTTTAAAATTCCCATGTTATTTTTATTGAGAAAAATAAAACGGGTTTTATATGCTTGTTTATGGATGGATTTTGATCAAATTTGTAAAATGTATATGTTTTATCCTCTATTATTAACATTTGATAAAAAATACCTCTCCCTTCCCCGCAGCGGCAAATCTAAGTACTTGATAAATCTAATCTATATAATTAATACGCTACATGAAACTTTGTCGGTTGAACTCCTCCGCCATTTCTTAACCGATTTTATCCATTGACGTCTCATTGGAAAGAGCGTGTCGCGTAGATTTGCAAACTGGCCTTTAATAGATTTGGTTATAATTTGTTTTTATTCACAACATAATGTAATAACACACACCCTGGTTTTAATCATAGAGAAAAATAATTTCAATTACTTTATGACTTGTAATGCAATTATCAGTCAAAATTAAATTGTTTTCTCCTAAACTTAATTGCCTTCATTATGTACTACAATATAGTACCCTACCAATAAGGTAAATAATTCATTAACAATAATGGTAGCACAAGTGTAAATATATTTGATTAAACTACGCAAGTCGTAGGCTTATTTGAATTGTTAGCAATAACTACTACAATAATACTGTACATATAATGCTTTTCAATATTTAGTGTTATTCTCTCTAAAATGTAGTAAAATGTTTCTGGCATCATTCTAAAATATTCATAAAACTTATCTGGCTGTTGCAGAAGATCAACAAAAATCCGGGCATACTCCCTTCCTTCTTCTTGATCCATAAAAAAATCATTTACCCATTCCCCCCTTACTCGTTCAGAGTCTAATAATAAAAACTTTAAAACTCCATTCTCTAGCACAATATCCTCATCGTCTGACATGTCAATTTTGACTGTACTGTCCTGCTGAGACTAGTGGCACTTGCGCTTGGTTGCTCGTAGTATAACCACAACTTCGGGCACGGCACGCTTGCGCAAGCGTGCGCTACCATTTTACTTGCCCAAGCGTGCTTCCAATGTAAACGCAGCCTTACATTTTTGAAAACGTCCCTTGGGCTCTGCCCCAGTGGCTTTGAAAGTTCCCATGTTATCCTTATGGAGAACATAATTGTTTACATTTTGATCAGCTGTATAATTTAATTGCTGTTATTTATTTTTCAATTCAATGAAACTCATTGAGTAATTTTTTTACTACTAGCTGTACCCGCGGGCTTTGCCCCGTTTAACTTCACAAGTGAGCTCGTGTTATTTAAAAGGGAAATAAATATTACTTGTTTATGGAATAGTTTAGTAAATATCCAATCTGACTACTTGAAATTCACTTGGTCTGCAGGTTTGCTGTGGTGGGGGTGTTTTTATTTACTAATAGATTTTTTTCCACATAAACCAGCTGAAGCTTTCAATGAGTACTGTAGTTGAAGTGATTGATGAAAATTCAAATTTGAACAATTATAATTTCGAAACACAAAAATTATTTCTCCTGGGATTATTAGTAATAATAATAATAATGTATTACATTTGTATTTAGTTTAAAATCTTTAGACATACTATACTCAAAATTTGGCTGTAATCAGAACTGTGATGAATCCGGAACCAAACCAAAAGTATAACATAGAGCAAAATGTTTAAGATTTATTATTTTGTATAAACCAACACACACACACATCTTAGAGGTTAAAACATTGTAAAAAAACTTAAATCGATGTAAAACACAACATTAC